GAAAGTCCTCAATAAACTCTATGTCTTGTTCACTGATCTGGGTTTATTTCCTTGGCCTGTTGTACATGATGCCAGTCCTATAGGAGTCAATATTGGTCTGGTGTGACACCCAGTGAACCTGGAAAAAAACGTCAAAAAATCACATGATCACCCAGAAAATGGAATCTGAAAAGAGGAGACCCCTGCAGAAACCCTGTGCAGGCTGCTAATTTCTATGTAGGGCCCAACATCTGCTATCCATGATGGATGGGGCCCAGTGCGTGAGTATGGGGATCCTGCCAAACACCAAAAGTCCTGGAAGAACCACTTCAGTGGGTGCATCTTACAAAGTGAAAGTCAGATGCCCAAGATGTTGCATTTTCAGGAGGCTGGTTCCTCCTGACTCCACTCTGAGCAGCCACTGAGACAGAGCTCACCGTGTAGGCTACAGTGTGTCAGTCATAAGAAGAGCTACTCCTAGAAAAACATGCCAGACCAGCTCAGACTAATCAGAGACCTTTCTGTCCTGCCTATGGAAGCAGAATGGTGAATTGGGGACTGCGGCTTGTTGAGGAGCATACTTGAAGGATTTCTGACCATACGTGAATTAGTGAGGGCTATGATGACTAAATTGTCATGGGACTCTAAGACCCAGTTCCCATGAAGAGCTCTACGGGGAGGAGGATGAAGATTGGGGTAAGTCCATGGGGGTCCCTGTCCTCTCTACACATCTGCTGGCTACCACCAAGGTGAAAATGGGCCAACTGCACCAGCAGAGGCTAGCCCCCGAAGACATTTCCCCACCTGAAATAAGGAAGCACGCCACAAAGTGGGATTCCACCACTGCAGAATTGCTGACACTTAGAAATGGGTTCAGACAGAAGTAGAGAGAGTTGATCACAGGATGGCTTCTTCATCTGTGAGGCATGGGGGAGGAGGGCATTATACTCCCAGAACTCAACATTAGTAAACTGACATCCATCACAAACCATCTGGGTCTGAGGCAGCACCTCGATGGTGTCAGTGATGGAGATTGGACCATTCCCCTCCTTAGCTGGGGGGCTGCAGGCTGCGGGGGACCCTGGTGAAATGAGGGAGATGTCCAGTTTACTTGTGTGTTCTCACATTGCTAGAAAGAAATACCTGAAACTCAGCAATTCATGTAGAAAATAGGTTTAATTCACTCATGATTCTGCTGGCTGTACAGGAAGCATGATGATAAATCTGTTTAGCTTCTGGAGAGGCCTCAGGAAATTTACAATGATAGTGAAAGGCAAAAGGGGAGCAGCCATTTTATATGGTGGGAGCAGAAGCAAAGAAAGAGTGAGGGTGGAGCTGCTACACAGTTAAACAACCAAAGCTCATGCGAACTCATTTACTATCACAGCAAGGGGATGGTGCTGACCATTAATTATAAATCCACCCCCATGCTACAACCACCAGGCCCCACCTCAAAACTTAGGGAAGCAAAATCACATAAAGTTATTATGACAGGCATGTCCCACAGCGCCCTGGAGTTGTCTCAGGGGAGCAGTCTCCTCCAGTGCTTAGAGGCACAGGCACAGACAACAGGGCTAACTCTGGCCAGATGTGTGATATTGGACACACTGCACAACTGCTCGGTTCTGAATGTCATTTATCTTCTTTAAAGTATAACACTGACACTTCAATTAATATATTCTGCAAATATGTAAAAATAAAATAAGATGATGATTGCTAAATGATTATCAAGGCACAATCGCATAATCTGAAGTTATACTTTCCTGAGAGATAGGATTAGGGCCCATGTTTTCCAGGGCACTCTCATCCGCTCTGGACACTGCCTTCTCCTCTCAGGCGTCCCACCCCAGAGCTTGCTATATAGTAGGAGACATGCAAATAGGATCCTCTCTCTGCTGATAAAATCCAGCCCAGCCCTGACCCTGCAGCTCCGAGAGCAGAGTCCAGCCCCCGAATTCTCAGGTGTTTTCATTCGGTGATCAGCACCAAACACAGAAGACTCACCATGGAGTTTGTGCTGAGCTGGGTTTTCCTTGTTGCTATTTTAAAAGGTGATTTACGGAGAACTAGAGATGTTGAGTGTGAGTGAATATGAATGAGAAACAGTGGCTATGGGTGGCAGTTTCTGACCAGGGTGTCTCTGTGTTTGCAGGTGTCCAGTGTGAGGTGCAGCTGGTGGAGTCTGGGGGAGGTTTGGTCCAGCCTGGGGGGGTCCCTGAAACTCTCCTGTGCAGCCTCTGGATTCACCTTCAGTGACCACTACATGGACTGGGTCCGCCAGGCTCCAGGGAAGGGGCTGGAGTGGGTTGGCCGTATTAGAAACAAAGCTAACAGTCACACGACAGAATACGCCGCGTCTGTGAAAGACAGATTCACCATCTCCAGAGATGATTCAAAGAACACACTGTACCTGCAAATGAGCGGCCTGAAAACCGAGGACACGGCCGTGTATTACTGTGCTAGAGACACAGTGAGGGGAGGTCAGTGTGAGCCCAGACACAAACCTCCCTGCAGGGGCGCGCGGGGCCTCCAGGGGGCGCTCGGGACCCACTGAGGACGCGACAGGTCCCAGGAGCAGGTGCAGGGGGAGGTTTCCTTTCTCAGCTGCCGGAGGCGGGTTTGTGTTTTCAGGACTCTGGAGCCTCATAAGGTTGTAATATTTTATTATGATTATTTGTCATTTTTTAATTGATATTTGTGTTTTAGTAATTTTTACATTTATATGTAGGGGTATTTTAAAAAAATACTTAACTTCAAGAAATAATTATTCCTAATAATTTGCACTTATTCTTCTAAAGTTTTGTTAACATCGGTTGATATCAGCAACTACATAGCTATGCGACATGAATTTACACCAATAAACATATGTGTAAATACATGAAACTATGCATACATATGTAGTCATTTATATCTAACATTATGTTTAACATTATAAAATAATTAAATTAAATTAATTGAATTAAATTAAAAAATTAAACTTAACGATGAACTAAATATAAATTAGAGTAATCCATAATTGATTTCAATCATTCTCTATGGTTTACATAAATCGATGTCTATTTGTAAGCTTAAATATTGTGTACTGGTCATTTTAAAACAGCCAAGAACAAATTTCAAATGTTCTTGTCACCAAAAAATGATAAGTATTTGAGGGCTTGAGGTGATATATATGTCAATTAGCTCAATTCGATTATTCCATGTTGCATTTATAAGTCATAACATAGCTTTGTACCCCACCAATATATGGGGAACAACGAAAATTTCTCAATTTCCGGTGAAATTTTAATTACGTATTATTTAATCTGATGCCTTTCCTTGGATTAGGCATCTCATCAGGATTGCAGGGCTCTTCAGTTTTCTCAACATACTGTTGTAACAGATAAGCACAAAACAATTTCATTATGCTTTGCTTTAGTTTTTCAAGACAACATAATAATTTTAACAATAAACATATTACATCCTACTATAAATGAGATGCTTCTTATGCCTCAAGGTTTCTATTCAGAACTTTATATGTATTACATATTTTCAATTTTTTTTCTGACATGGAATGCCAACGCCTCTCTATTAAAGATTATTCTTTTAATTTATCCCTTAAAAATAATTTTCCCAAGTCCCACTCAAAACCAGGGTATCATTAGAACTTTGAGGTGTAAGAGTTGGACCAACATTGAGAATAGATTCAGTTTAGTTCACGTGCTCTCAAATATCCTTTTTTCTTTAAAAGTTGTTCTCAGTTGTAATACTACACAAAATATCAACAATTTATATGAATGACACAGGTTAAATATTGTATAAATCATTTAATGACATATGATTGGAAAAAACTACATGTTCCACCTGTCTTGACTATTTTTTCTTCTCTATGAAATGTATGCTAATTAATTGTTAAGTTTCTGGTGTTACCGTTATCTTTTCTTATTTCTGGGATTTAATTTTAGGAGGTATACTGAAATACATTTTATTAATTCATATAATAATGTTCATATTTTGGATAGCGCTTTAATATTCATTGTATTATTTACTGAATCTTAAACTATTCTACATTTTTTATTTTTTTGTTTTTAATGAGATAAAATTTACATATAAGAAAAAATGCATAGATCTGAAATGTGTCATTACAGAGTTTCTGGCAAATGTGAATACCCTTGTCCCGAACACCTAAGGCAGCCTGAAGAGCAAGTCCATCCCCCCAACATGCGTCTTCTTCCTGCCTGCAGTCAACACCTATATGGGGAAATGTTTTGATTTCTGACACTATAGACCCATTTTTTTCTGTGTTCCCAACAAAAAGAAAACGTTTCAGATGATGGATATATTAATTATCCTTATCTGACCCCTACACACTGTTTCAAAACATTGCTATGTACCTCATGAATATTTACAATCATTATTTGTCTATTAAAATTATATTAGAAAACACAAACTTCATTGGAAGTAACGTAAATGGAGGCTTTGGAATACAACTGGAGATAACGGGAGGGAATGGAATACATTACAGGCCTAGCATTCAATGGCAAGAGGAGCTCCCATTGGCTTTTTGTATTTGCAGCACTGAGTAAATCTAACATTTATCAAAGCTTCCCTCTACAATAGAGACCTGAGGTCTAGGGGGATCTTGCAGATAGTCAGATATGCAGAGGGAAGAAGCAGGAGTAGAGGGTTGCTGGCCCATTTAACAATAGTTGGAATGATAATTATGCATGTAGAGAAGCCAACATTGATTTAAATAAGTTGCATCACTGAATGACATGAAAAAAAATCCAAGGGAAATCTTTAAATAAAATTGATAGTGAAACTATTTTGGGTGAAGAAATGTTCACTGAAGTAAAGTGAGCCATTAAAGCTGTTAAGAACCAGTAACCACTGGATTGGATTCAGCTTTGTCTGAATTCAGGGTGATTATTACTGGCTCAGGCAGGGGTCAGAAATCAAGACGGATATGTGGTACCAACCCAGAAAAGTCAGGGACCAGAAAGATTCACAGCTGAATTTTTTCAGATGTACAAAGAAGTGTTGCTACCAATCCTAGTGTAACTATTTCCCAAAAATGAGGATAAAAGACTCCTCCCTAAGTTATTCTGTGAGATCAGCATTATTCTGATAACAAAACCTAGCAGAGACTCAATTTAAAAAGAAAACTTTAGGCCAATATATCTGATGCAAAAATGCTCAATGAAATACTCACAAACTGAACACAGCAGCACATCAAAAAGCCTAATCTACCAACACTTTGTTCCTGGGATGCAAGGTTGGTTCAATATATGCAAATCAGTAAATGTGATTCATCATATAAACAGAATGAAAAACAAAAACCATGTTAACCATAGGCACAGAAAAAGATTTTAATAAACTTTAACATTCTTTCATATTAAAAACCATCAACTAGGCATGAAGGAACACACCTCAAAATAATAAGGGCCACCTTTGAAAAAGTCACAGCCAACATTATACTGACTGGGCAAAAGCTGGAAGTATTTTCCCCTGAAAACTGGAACAAGAAAAGGACACCCACTCTAACCACTCCTGCTCATCATTGTCATGGAAGTCCCAGCCAGAGCATGCAGACAAGAGAAAGAAATAAAAAGCATCAAATCAGGAAGAGAGAGTGTCAAACTATCCCTGTAGATGAAATGATCATATTCCTGAGCCTGCAGTTTGGTGATTAACATTAATTTAGAAAAATTGTCAGTCATCATTGTTTAAATATTTCTTCTTAGCTTTTCTCCATTTTTTTCTATTTCCCATTATGTGCATGTTATACCTCTGCAGCTGTCCCACAGTTCTTGGTTACGCTGTTCTGGTTTTATATATAAGTGTGTGTGTATATATATATATATATGTGTGTGTATGTGTGTGTGTGTCTGTGTGTCTCTGTGTGTGTATATTTGTATTTGTGTGTTTACTGTTTTAACAACATAATTTTTCTTTTTGCTTTTCAGTTTGGGAAATTTCTATTGAGATAGTTTTAAGTTCAGATTTTTGTCCGCAGCTATGCCCCATCTACATATAAGTCCATTGAAAGCATTACTTAATTCTGTTACAAAATTCTTGATATCTACTTTTTTTTCTTTATTAGAATTTGCATCACTCTACTTGCATGACACAGCTGTTCCTGCATGTTGTCTGCTTAATTCATTACAGCCCTTAGTATATTACTCATGGTGGTCTGAAATTCTTTGTTTGGTAATTCCAACATAAATGGCATACTTGAGTCTCATTTTAAAGCTTGTTCTGCCTTGTCACACTATGATATATTTCCTTTAGTATATATCATGATTTTCATAGGGAGAAATTATGCATCAGGTGAAAGAAACTGCTGTGAAGAGGCCTTTAGCGATAACATTGTAAGTTGTGGAAAACACTTGTTTCATAATCCTCTGGTCATGGCTTAATCTAGCAAGCTTAGGCCTTTGAAAATAAATCCTTACATGAGTGTGAAAAGATAAGCCATAGATTTGGAGAACTTCTTCACAAATCAAATATTTGGAAAAGGACTTTTATCACGAATAATAAAAATTACCTTACAATTGAACAACAACAAAACCACACAATTTAATTTTAAATAGGCAAAGACCTGAATAGAAAGAAGCCTTATCTAAAAATAAATATAAAAAGTGATCCGCATGATTTTCAGGTATTTGTATGTTTAATATTCAAATAATACTAATGTCCTGTTACAATGGGAAAATACACAATATAGACAGTACCAAATTGTGATGCGGAAGTTGAAAAACAGGAACGTTCCCTCCTTGCTGGTGGGAAGGGGATGCTGAAGTGGCACATACACAACTACAGTTAATAATTCATTGTATATTACAGAATAACTAGAAGATAAGATTTAGAATGTTCTTAACACAAAGAAATAATCAGTGATTGAGGTGAAGGATATCTCAGGTATCTGGATTTGATCACTGCAAATAATATACTTTTATCAAAATATCATGCATATCCCTTAAAGGTTTTGAACCATTCTGTATCTATATAAATTAAACATTTTTAAAAAACAGTGCAGGGGAATCCAGCTAATTGCTGATTCCCATTAGATGTGATGTTCTGCATAATCTGTAAACTAATCAGAATCTGTGGGTTTGTAAAGGACTTTAGAAACCAACTAGACTAATTGTTTCTAAAGTCTCCCAAGTTTAATTATTTTCCTAGTGGGTGGCGATTTTGAACGTAGAAGAAATGTTAACAGTTGTTGCTGGTAAGTTTTCTTCTAGTCTCGGGAGAAAAAGTTTGCAGGGAGGAATCTGGGACAATCTTTTAAGTCTCAACTTCAATGTGATTATCTCAGTAAATGTTTTCTGATACCCCTGAGTAGGAGAAGTCTCATATATCTCCTATGAATTAAAAGTAGAATTCTAAGCACCCAGCTGACTCAATGGAACCTTCCTCTTCAACAAGGAGTTCCGTGGACACTAGAAAACCTAGTTTAGTCCATGTTAGATATAGAGGATCAGAAATGCCTCATTATACATTCCTGCCTTTGGAATTTAAGCACAAGTAACCAACACTTTCATTAAAACAGATCTTAAGGCTCAGAAAACAGATTCCGTTCAGCAATAAAATACCAAATTCTAACATGACTCAAGAATAGCATCACATGACAGAGAGCAGGCCTTGAAAGGAATTAAAGTCTTTTACCCTAAAATATATTTCTTTGACATATTTTAAAATCGCCCTGCACAGTTATCATTTTGCAAGAGAAATTTACATTCTGTAGATAATCTGCTTCCCTTTCAAGGTGTTTGTGTTATACTGAGAAGGTTAGCTGAGAGTCTAGTATCTTTTAAATCTCTTAATAGAAAATATTTGCTGTCTATGGCCTCTAAGGGTGGTCACAGAAGAGACTTCATCTACCTAAAAAGAATTTTGTTCTCAAAAACCCGTTATCTTAACCCGGACAATTTCTTTTGTTCTGTTTTCAGGTCTTTAGATGAAAATTTAAGTCTTTCAATCAATTGCCAATCAGAAAATCATTTAATTCACCTGTAAGCTGTAATCTCCTCCCCACACTGCCTCACTTCTAGCGGTTTTGTCTTTATGGACCGAGTCAACATATATCTCACATGTATCAATTGATGTTGTTAAATTTAACCTGAAATCAAGCCACTTTGGGCACATGTTCTCAAGATCTTCTGGGGCTGTGTCACAGGGCGTGGGCCTCATATTTGGCTCAGAATACATCTCTCTAAATATTTTGAACTTGGCTTTTTATTAATAGTTCTAATAGAACCTACTCTGTGGTCTTTGTTACATCCACAAGCATGATATTAATAAACTTTAGTTATTAAAATAAGCACATGTTGGCAATTTCTTATGAAGTTCCACAGAGACCTTCTGTGGGATCAAGTGTAAATGTTTCAAAGTATTTCTGCAGCTATTTCAAAATTTACATTCCACAGATACTGCTGTCAGATTCCTTATGTCAGCTAATCATTTGCTTATGATTTTTGTATTTTTGTAGACGATTACAATTTGTTTTATGATTTTTTTTTTTTGTAGATGATCATGCCCTATCTCTTCTATGCCTTTATTGTGGAAAATTGTGTGAAACTACTCAGGGCTACATCTGAAAGTCCTTACTGCAGTGGCTGCTGGAATTGCAGTGGGTTTCCTCTGCAGCTAGCAGACACCCAGGTTCCTTAAGTGAAGCCTTAATTTTGTTTCCTGCTTGGCTTTGGGCCTTAATCCTGTGTCATCCAGAAAGATTCTGTCTTTCAGGTCCCCCAGGTTATCCCAGAGCCACAAGGACCTGACAATTGTCAATGTGGTGGGAGGGGTTGCACTGAACGGACACTCTCTGTCCTTCTGAGGGAGCCATACTCCAGGCAGGTATCACAGTCCTGACTCGGTGTGTCCTTCCAAGTATCCCTGCCCATCCTGTGGGTGTGATGCTGATCCATGCATCTTCCTCCCATTCCTGGGAAGAGGGTCTTCTCTTTTTTTCCCATGTCTTCTTCCAGCAGCTACTATGTCTTCCCACTGATGTCTTCGGCTTCCTCTTTTCTGCCTTTGGCAGCAGGATGAGGCTGTTTTTTCTGAGGGAAGAGAGAAAAGGCGGGAGATGAGGCTGTTATTCCTGAAAAAATGGACAGAGCTTTGGGGCTTTTCTTCCTTCCGTCCCAGTTTCTATGAGTTCCTCCAGTGCCTGTAACACAGAGGTGTTAGTGGCTTTGCCCCTGTATGTTAATTCTTTGGTAAAGTCCTGGTGGCAGGGGAGGTGGGTCTGGATGCATTTCAGCCACAGCTGCTGTTCCGCTTTTCCACACAGAAACATCTTGGGAGGGAGAGGCTGGAGATTTTTGTGATGTGTCCTCAATCCTGGCAGAAAAGGTTTCAATAGCAATAGGAATCACTCAGTTGTATGTCCTCTGATAATTTAAACAATAATTTCTTTATTATACTCAACTCTAAACAATCTGAAGAATATGTCTAAGT